TATATATATATATATGTGTGTGTATATATATATATATGTACAATACGTGCAAATTAAATAACTAATGCCGTGTAAGTGACCCAAAAAGAATATGTTTAACCCTTCATAACTCTGTAGAGTCACAGGAGTCAATGAATCCACTGATAGGAAAGCCTAGTTTTAGATAATTTATTATTTCATACCAAATCTTCACACTGTGTGTTTCTTCTATGACGCAGGACTCAGAGGATTAGGCTTCGAGTCTCCACAGGTCTTCCTGGTGTCCAGCTTTAAGCTCCTCCGGTACGACTTCAATCTCTTACATCAGACCTTTTACAAAGACCTTCCTAAAAACAAGAGGATCATTCTGCTGTCCACCTTCTACAAGATCAATCCAGAGATCATCAGGAAGAAGAAACAAACTCTGAAGTCCAAAATAAAATACTATGCTCTTGGATCTGGAGCTGGAGCAGCTGTTCCACTTCCTGGACTTTCTGTTGCTGTTGATGCTGCTGTGCTGGTTGGTGCTGTCACAAATTTTGTTCATGCGTTTGGTCTCGATATCCCGACTCTGCAGAGACTTTCTGCCAGAACAGGTGTGTCCTACGCTGATCTGTGTGCTGTCATCATTTCACCACTGGCTGCAGGAGAGATAACTACAGAGCTCCTCCTGAAGGTGATAGCCCAACTTGGGTCCATAGCTGCATTAATTGCAACAGAGGAAGTGTCCAGATTTATTCCAATTATTGGAATTCCACTATCACTGGGTCTCTCTTTCACCACAACTTACAAAATTCTGAAATTGATCCTAACAGAACTCCCTGATGATGCTCACAGGGTGTTTGAAAGAGTTTTAGTCTGAACACATCAGTGTGAATTTAAAGATGAGTGAAACAAAAGAGTACAAATGAAATTAGTTTAAATCATTAAATATTAATATACTGAAACCAAATCATGTTGCAGCTGCACATTTGAGCCATTATCCTACTATAGCTGATAAATGTATCAGAGGCCTCAGCAGGTCTCATTTCTTCTCATCACATCGATACAGGAACAAATGTGATGTTATTATTCAGATAAAACCTGCTAGAAGAGCTACTGATGTTTTTTTAATCCTTTGTCTGATTTGGTGATGTCATCACTGTTTACAGATCAGGTGATGTGATCGTTGCTCCTGAAACATCATCGTCTGAATTTCCTCTGTTTGATTTACTTTGTGATGAAACTCTTTTATTATCATATCGTTGCTTATAGCATAATAAATACTTTTAATGCAGAATGTCTGAACAGAAACTGGTCTGTGGTGTTTTTGTCCTGTTGACTGTAGATTGTGATGAGAGTTCACTGCCCTCCAGTGGTCACAGTCAGGAACTACCACACAAATAATACTGCTATGAATGCAGAGGTCTACCATCATTCCTACTTCTCATAAATAAATTGTTCTTGAGAAACATTTTACCTTTAATGTCACTATTTAAGGAGTGTTTTAAATTAAATATACAAGGAGAGTTCTTCACCTCTCTCAGCATTGGTGAGTTGGACACAATATTACCACTTAGCAGTCTTTGAGCAGATTAGTGAACATGCAGGAATCTGAAGTCTGTCACAACTTTTCAATGTTTCTAAATTCCCATCCTTTGGTTTACATGAAAATATGACAGATTTTCACTGAGATCTGAAACATTTGAACCTCACTGTGTCCTGTTCCAGTCTGAGGCAGGGGCGGATGTAGAAGGGTGGCATGGGGTGGCAAGTGCCACCCTAAAATGATCCCTTGCCACCCCAAGTGCCACTCCAGTTTTACATATGACAGTGTTTTTATTAATAAGATAGCATTAACAGTTTGAGCGTAGTTACAGTCAACAGTGAATATAAATGCTAAAACTGAATATATTGCATAGTGTTCCCCCCTCCACCATTAACAAATGGTTCAGCAGGACCGGCTTTTTTCTTGTTTTCAGTAGCAAGCGATGCTCCTGATTGTGCCAGAGCACATTTTGAACAACACCATGGGAATTTCGCTTTTTACACAGATGGTTGGATGTTAAACTCTGGAAATGGAAGGAAGGTGAGTGTTATTAACCCTC